CCCGACTTCCCGAGTCTTAACAGCAAGGAATTGGTGGCGAAGTTCGGGTTCCCTGTGCTCGCGCTGGTCGAGAAGGACGAGCACGACAGCAATCTGTTGGTCACGATGTGAGTGCACTCGCGATGTCGTGTCAATTGGTGGTCAATATTGTCGGCCTTTTTTTGATCTATCGTTTGATTTTATGAATTTATAGATTTTGAGATTTTGTTAGAAATGTGACACATTTGGTGAATGTTTAAAAACTCACCACTAATTTGATAGTTGTTTTATATAATTTTTGAATAGTGATAAACTATTTATAAATTTATTATCAAATTGTACCTGTAGATATTTTTAGAAATTTGAAAAATGTTGACTTAGTTGCTGCCGATTAGCCACAATTGCAACGATACTGTTGTTGATATTGTACTGCATTTGTAAATTATTTATGTATTTTTTATATTTAGTTTTATAGACGAAGTGTTTTCTAAGATTCAAGTGAATAACCTTCAGATCTCACTGCAAGAGCTCCTGGAGCTGACGATGAGGAAGCGTCGGCCGTCTCTTATCAAAGGTACGGACATATCGTTTACCTCTTAATTTAGGCATTCATTCAATTGATTCGTTTAATTAACAGTATTTTGTTTTTTGTCCCCAAACTAGGAGTCAGTTATAAGCTGGAGAAGCGCACCGAACCGGGCGTGTCCTTAGACCTGAAGCAAACTCTGGCCGATTGTAATTCGCTGGAGTTTGTGCTGACCCCAGACCAGCCCCCAGGTAGGCGTCCACCGCAGGCTACCCGTCGGCCCCGAACCTCTCGCCGACACAACTCATTGTTACGATAATCTGTGATAACATGTGATAGAAAAGCGTTGAATTGTTTTAAACATTATTATCAGACAATGTATTCTTGTATTGAAATATTTTTGCAGAGTTTTTATGATATAATGAGCTATTAGTTGACAATTATTTTGTGATAAGTTATGACAAATTGTGATTAAATTAGACTATATTTATAGATTATATACGAAATTATTTGTTACTATTTTTTTGTTTGTTACGAAGTCATGAATAAAAGTGTTTTTATTTGTATGGATATTGCAGTGGATTTCGGTGAGAGCCGAGCGGCCAATCGGTTCGAGTTGGACATGTCGGCGATGGAGGCGCCGCTGTACCGGTCCTACAACGTGACGGCGATCAACAAATTGGGCCGAACCGCGGACGTGGAGATGGGCATCAGCGGCGATAAGATCGAGATCACGCCTATGCCTAACAAAGGCTTCTTTCAATGGCAGCCAAAGGCCGCTACGGTTAACGACGAGGATGTGGTGCTCTGCGAACTATTGGCCCATAAATTGAGTTCAGTTTACGTTTCCGTTGTTTGCCATAAGCTTTGAGATAAAATCAGATTTAGATATAAAAATTATTTTATTTAGATTTTTGTGTTGATTGAAATTATTTATTGATATGTGTTTTTGTTTGTATGACAACTACCGGCGCTGCAGATACGGGTAAATCGACGTTCAAAGTGGTCTATTGGAATGGGGATGAGTACAAGCACTGGACGTTTGAGGCCGAAACCAGTATCACGAATGAGATCCTAAAGAAACTGCATTTTGTGATGCAAATGAAGACGAGTCTCATTAGAAATGAATACTTCGCTCTCAAAGAGCATAAAAGTCTTAAGAAATAGTCCTTAAATTGGTGTTCCGTTAGTCTAATGTAGTTTTAGCTGATTTTTAAGCACTTTTTTAAACGTAAAACAATTTATTTATTTTTTGATTTCGTGGTAAAACATATTTTTGTGTATTATTTTCTAAATGATTTGCAACTAATTACTGTATAAATGGTTTTAATTAATATTTTTAATTTATTTTTATATAATTAATCAGAATTTGTTTAATGTGTTTTTTATGAGCTGTTTTTGTAATGTTAAATAAATTAAAAATTGCAAATTAATTCTGTGTGTAAATTGTTTTGTGTTTTTCACTGTTAAATGAATCAATCGATGAGTGAGTGATAGTACGAGACTGAAGAGGACATCACTTTTCCCGACATACCGTTCCCACTAATGTAAGCAGTTTTAAAGTCAACCAAATTCTGACTTATAATATATTTTCATTTATAATTTTACTATTAGTTCAATGTGTGTGGAAGTAATGATTAATTTATGTGAATTTTAATTAGATACTTAAATTATCCAGGTTATTATACATTTGTAAGGTTTGTAAAACTTGTATCTAGTTCAAATTCAATTTATTTCTAGTATTGTTGTTGTAATTATGAGGGCTTTATTTTAATTATATTTCAATTAAATAATCTTTAAAATTATTATATTTAAATTAAATTTTATTTATCAAATATAATTAATTTAATGAAAAATATAAATATAACCAAATGTTGAAAAACTTGAATTAATTAAAAATTTGTTGTAATTGTTTTGAATCTAAAATCTATATTTAATGATAAAATCAAAACCCTATTTAACAATCAAATTCTGATTTTAATGATAGAAATATTGTATTTATATGACTAGTATTATATCATAAAACTAGTTCACATTAAGAACTAAATATTTGCCACAAAAATTTGTATGTAATTATTAAATACAAAACTTATTACAAAGATATACCACAATAATAGCCAAAATCAGAATTTCATTCTTTTGTATCATAACTAGATTCATATAAAAATTAATTATATATTTTTGTTAATTATTTATAAACTATAAATTATAAATTATAACTTAATATTAGAAATATCATTAGCTTAATGATACAGTATTTATATATTAACTTTATCTTTTTATTGATAATAATACTATTTCTATAAATGAGGACTTATAATCTCAATTAATTTATGATTTTGTACACATTTTATAACACATTTGTAATCATTCATTCTAACCCTTAAATGTTTCTAAATCTTTGTTAAATTATTTGTTATTTTATAATTAGTAGATTTCTATTACTTATATTATTTATTCCTATTGTACTCGGATTGGGTGGGAGTGGGACAGGGATTAGTGAGAAAACGGAATACCTAAACAAGCACATTCTGTATTCACAAATTCTGGTTTAATTAAAAAACAGCGTTTTGTCACACAATATCTCATTTTGTATTCAAAATTTGTTTATTGAGAATAAATTTGCATTGAAATGCAAAAACAAATTGATATTTCTTTTCGACTTCTCATCTCTTGTGTCACAACTCCTTCGCATTCATCTTCATCTCCATCTCTATATGTGTGCCAACACTTCGCCAACACTTTTGCAAACACTTTAGCCAATAGTTCTGTAGTCTCTCTCTCTCTCTCTCTCTCTCTCTCTCCATGACTTGTGTTATAGTATTTGAGTCAAAGTTTTCTGTGGTGTGAAGTGTCGGAGAAGAAGTGCAAACAAAGAGATGCTCTGTTCGTATGTAACGACACAACCATTGAGATGAATGTAAATACAGAATATCAGCGTATATTGGGTTTGCCTTTTATATGTCTTCACGAATATCACACATTCAATGCTATTCAATACGATTCCCAACTGCAGTACAGCCAACGCCAGACCGTACGCCCAGCGCCAGTATGTGTTGACTTGAGTCTGATATGTAGTTATAGTTTTGTTGTTAAAGTAAACGATTTGATGGCAATATTGTCGACTCAAACACCAGTCTCTCTCTCCATCTCTTTCTGTATTACTGATAGCGAGTGCACTGATAGCTGTAGGAAAGGCTGAGCACAGGTTTTACGATATAGTTTTGATGAGCGGGTAATCTATTATCGATTCGCAGAATGTGTTACGAAAATACATCTAATGATAGGAAGGAGTGCTGTTTTATATACCTTAAGAATCGGTGCACACAATGCATATGTGCTCTCATATGGCATATAAGGCATGGATAGGCAATGAACTCACTGTTCCCTTAAACACATCCAGTTCTTAGGGCGCAGACTGCCTGCTGTCGCGCCAATGATTTTCCATCAAAAGACATAATCATCTCTTTTATATCGTAATAAAGGAACTGTAGGTTATGTGCGCTCATAGGAACTCATCAAATCGTTTGAGTGAAGGCCACTAAAGGCACGGATACCCGACTGGAGTGACAATGAGAGGGGAGAGAGAGAGAGAGAGAGAGAGAGAGAGGGCATAGAAGCCATAGTTTTTAGATAAGAGAGACAATTACTGCCTAAGAATCTCAATGACAGTCAGATTTGAAACGATTTATCGCTGACTATTGGCTCCAAATGAGAGCACAGATACTGTCCTTCCCTTTAATACTTGATTGCAGACTAACCTCTCATTTCGTACTCTTCTAACAGTTATTGCAGTTATTTATGTGTTTAGTGTTAGTGTTGTATTGAATCATAAATACATCAAAACTTTAAGATTTTATATATGTTTTATCGCATCCTTTAAGTGACTAAACTATCGATAAAGAGATTAACTTTAAATTGAAAATTAATTGAAAATATTTCTAATGTTATGATTGTCTAAAATATTTTAACATTGAGTCTAAAGTATTAATTAGCAGTTGTTAGTTATTTCATAGGCATTGGTCTAATAATTGTCAAATTATTTATTAATTCTTTATTTATAATTGAAATTTCATTATTCATACTAAATATGTGACACTTTTTTGCAGTCAAACTGAATGTCATTTTCCAAACTCTAAATCAATGCTCTATTCAGTCGCCTATTATTTTACATCTCGTTTTTGCGATACGTTTTCATTAATGAATTAAAATATTTTCTCACTCGTCATCCCTGTCCCCCTCCCGTCCCCCTTCCAGACAAAAGAACATTCAAATCCATTTCTGGTGTATTTATGGATAAAACAATTTACTGGAAGAGTAGTCACACCAACGCTACGACTACTACTGCCAGCGCTGACCCTAAACATAGGCACCGGGAGAATCGCACAGACATTATGTGCTCCAGTGTTTCACTTCATTTATTTCCAAACAGTGAAAGCTGTCGCACAGAATACGAGCCTCACATCTACTAGACTCCCGGAGCTCTCGCACGAAAACAATGGCCTATAAGTCTCTCTCTCTCTCTCTCTCTCTCTCTCTCTCTCCAAGTCTTTCGCGTACCTGAAGTCAACCAATAGCGAGATGTGAAGCTGTGATCCCTCTCTCATTGCGAGAGAGAGAGAGAGAGAGAGAGAGCAGAGCGATGCGAACATGCATTTGGAGAGCGGATAGAATATAACGATGCAAACGATGCAACACATGTACTAAACACATACCATTCCGTATCTAACTCTCAGTGTTATGGTGTCGACGCTTTTTAAGAGCAAAATTGCGAACTTATGTTATATTTATGTTTTTTGTCCTCTCTTTGCGACAAAACCTCTGATTTTCTACTCGTTTTTGTGACTCCAAATGTACGATCATTTTTGCCATAATAATGAATTCAAGTCAAGAGTTTCTATTGATTCAGACATTTGTTTGCATTAATTCAATGAATCCAAAGTTGATCTCATAGTTTCATTCATAAGTTTTGAGTGCATTCTTTAAAAACATTATATTTTTAGAGTTAATTTTTATAAATGAATTACAAATCCAATTGACTACTATTTGTTAAATTCATGATTAAGTTTAGAATTGTTTGGCTAAACTTTGAAATATTTATATAAAAAGGCAAATATAATATATTTTATTAGGAGAGAGAGAGAGAGAGAGAGAGAGAGAGAAAGATTATTAGTGTAGAAAACAGGTGTGTTTTGTGTGGATAAAAGTTTTATACATTATATGAGAGGCAATAAAGTTTTTGCACTGAATTAGTCGTTCGGCACAAACATTGCGAGCATTTAATCAGTGTTTATGTGACAAACCTATTGTTCCCATCACTGAACTGATCCCAAACTTCACCAC